CTGTAAATATATTCTGAAACTTTATGTGTTTTTAAAGCATGACAGTACATTTTCATAGTTTCTCTCATTTAATGTACTCTGTATGTTAGAGTGAGGGATTTGTACCTAAGAAGGAATAACTTAATGAAACACTATGGGCTAAAAAGATAAGTATGATTTGTGTGTGTGTGTGTGTGTGTTACTTAAAGGGCTGAATAAAATCATTTTCATGATCACCATCTATTGTATTTGAGGGTTAAAAAGCTAGGTAATATATAAACATTGTCTTAATAGGAATTCCTTGGCCTTGTGACCGTTTTCTTCTTGAGATGTGACCCTCATTTAGGTTAAGACATATGAAATTGCTGATTTTGAAGTTAGGAATGGTTGAATGTCCTTTCATGTGGTTCAGCCCCAAACATGGTGGATTGGCACCTTTTCTAAATGTGTTAGATGGGTGATTACTTGAAAGCTAACTGCAGTGCAGTGTTCACATAACTGAAGTTCTTCCTCTAGAGTAAAATCTGTTAAGTGGATTTACTGGTTCCCTTGGTTCCCTCCCCTCAAACAAATTTATTTGGATCTAATATGCTCCAGACTTTTTCTCAATAGTTAGTGGTGAATTATCAACTACTCACTGCAAAATTTTAACACCTTTACCTCTTTCAAGAAAGGATTGCATTTAAGGAGAAAGTTGGCTTATTTTTCTGGCTAGATATACATTTTTGGTGTATGTCATATGCTATGGAAAAAACTTTGAACACTTTCTGGATAAGATGAGAATAAATGACTTTAGAAGCCTATCTTTTTAAGGTAAATACAAAAACACTTGTCATGGATATAATCTTACAGGGTTGTTCTAACCAATGGTTTCTATTTCTTTATAAATCTAGAGTTAGTGGAAGTGATGTATCACTTGTGTTGTTGAGAAATCATTGCACAACAAAGGACATCTTAACTAATTCAAACTAGTGGGTTATTTTTCCAGTTTATTCCGTACTTGGAGTGTAATGAGCATGTGTGAGAGGAGCCAGGAGATGAGAATGATGAAACTGGTGCTGCCACTTGTGTGACCTTTGTCACTCAGACACTCCAGGCCTTCATTTCTTTGTTCAAAAAGTGAGGTTGGGTAGAAATCTCTCAGACCCTATCAAGTGTTAAATGTGTAATGGTCTTTGATTCCGTGGCTAGCCATAGGGAAGTGAAGAAGTAGCCAGGTGTTTCAGAAACTGGGAGGGATTATAGAGACCTTCTGTTATTTAAGTTGCTGTCCCTCCTGTGCCCCTTATATCCCATCCTTTTTGACCAATTTCATTTGTAAATTGAGAAATGCGTGTTAGTTATAATCGCACTGATTAATGACAGATTTGGTCTCCAAGTGGATTGGTGGTCTCCTTCCATCTATAGCTCTGCGTGGAGAGTATTTTGCTCCTTTAACTTTGAAAATATGAAGGCTTAAACGTACATCCTTTAGAGCAGTGGCTCTTAATCATTTTCGGGTTGTGGGTTCCTGTCAAATCTAATAGAGAAATAGACTCCCTGCCTAGAAAAATGTACACATAGAATTTAGAATACATTTCGAGCTAATAGTTTACCCCTGGCTAAGATCTGCTGCCTTATACTCGAAGTCTGTATTAAAATTTGTTGCTTTACACCCTTGTCTTTCCTGACAAAATACCATTAATGACAAGCAAAGAAAAATGGCTGGCTCAGTGTCCGCCACATTGTCGATGTTTAATAAATAATAGCCAATACCATTGTTATTATTTATGTTATTATGGTGTTATTATTACTACTCAAAAAGGTTCTACGTTTTTGTAATAATATTTTCTTTGGTGACTGAGTATAGATGCACAACCTTTCTATTCTTAAATTGTGAGTAACTGAAATTTTCAGCGAAATCTTCACTTTTATTGATTTGAAGTTTAATGCTGGGCAGAGAAGAAAATTCTTATGAGTAGTGTTTTAAGATTCTTATTAGTGCTGTCACCTAATTCATGTTGGAGGTAAGTAAAATGAGTTATAGTCAAGAGTGTTCAATGTTAAGTAGAAAAATCTACAATATGATTCTTTTTACTTTGCTTTTGTGGTGCTGGTTTTATGATCAACAAAAAGCAAAACCAGGAAACGGAGAGTTAATCCTTCAAATAGAATTAATGCCACTGGGTTCGGGAACTACCAAGAGGCCATTACGTTTTGCAACCCTGTGGGCAAAAAAAAATCTTAAGCAGCAATAATTATAATCTATAGAAATATTCATGCATTTTTTTGCTGCAATTCAGACATGAGATAGGGCTTGTCTTGATTTTATTAATGCAAATAGGTCAATAGAATGGTCTCGTCCTACTTAGGAGATAACGTGAGGGGCAGTTGATTAATTTTATATATCTAGGGCTTTAACAAAAGCTTAGATTTTATTTTGAAGAGCTAATAACTGACACTTCTGCCTTATGTTAAACAAAATAATTCTGGGAGACAAAATCTTGGAGTACTCTTACGGTATCTTTTCATTTCATGCCTTCCTTTCTAGTTTCTTTACCATTTCCTAGGTTTAGTCCTTCATGATCTCTTACTATAATCATGGCAGTTGTCTTCTGTTGTTTTTCTTGCATTTTATTGCTGGCATTAAGTTTTCAAGATAAAGAGAAGTTCCTGACATTCCTTTTGGTGAAAGCTTTTGGTAGCTCCATGTTGCCTCCTTGATTTCATACACCCCACCCAGCATTTGCCAGAGGCTACCTACTCTGGCCATCATGTGACCTTTCTGCCTTCACTTTTTATTATATCTCTTTCCACTTGGGTAATAGTCTTAACTACTTGTTTCAAAATGCTAGACTTCACACCTTTCTGTTTTTACCTGAATTCAGAGTGAATTATGCATTAGATTTTTTAAAAAATTAATTTGTTGCATTCCAAAAGACTTACTTTTCCCCTTTTTGTCCATGTCAGTTAAAGTGTCACATGTTTGCTAATATCATTTTCTCAGAAGGACATACCAATACAGTTATAAAAAAGCAAAAAACACAGTCGTTTTCACACGTGGGGAATTGAGCAGGGGAGCATAGGGAACATATTTTCTAGTAAAAACTACTTTGCTTTTGGGACTCTTTAATTGCCGTTCCAATAATTTAATTCCTCTGTGTATACCTGCCCTGAGGCTGTATTTCTGGGAGCGGACTACATCAGCCATTCTTATCTGCATCTAACTAGTGACGAAATAAAACAATCAGGAAGATTTATCAAGTGATTAGAAAGAAAAGGCAAATTACTAATCTGTCTTTTTAACATCTCTTTTAGCCTGCTCTTGAGGTTCACAGATGATACTTTTGATCCAGAGCTTGCAGCAACAATAGGTAAGCCTATGTTTAAAAATTCAGTAGAAATGCCAAATATTTTCTTGCTTCAGGCTGTTTCATCTAACTCCGCCTACCCATCCTCTCACCACCCCATTGCTTCCATGTCTGTCAAAATCTTATTTGTCTTTCAAGTCTTAACTTTGGTAGTCATTAAATTTCTGAAGCCTTTGTAGATCTCACCAAGCAAAAAAACGTCCTTTTCTGTTGTCTCCTGGTACTTTTTTAACACTGTGGATATTACGATTATCTGTATACACATTCCTGTGCTATGGGTTGTCTGTTATTTAGCAGCACACAGTCATTTGAATGTTTATTGCATGCCAGGCACTGTCCTGAGAGGTGGTTTTAATGTTCAATAATGCACACTTGGTCTCTGTCATAATGGACCTAGCAGTATCACCCAGCAGTAGAGTGTGTTAAGTTTGTATTTTTTAGCACTCAGTCCAGTATCTGGCATGTATTCTGGCAGCATATTTATTGATATTAGTTATTTAAGACTGTTAGAAGCAGTAATACATAACTGCCTTTTAAAAATGAAATTTAGATTGCCTGAAAGTGGATTGTCACACCAGCTTATTAGGGTTATGAGAAGATAGAGCTAAATATTCTGGTGCCACATGTTTAGGGAGTAGGTGACAATGTAAAGGGACAAGAGACAGCTTGCAGCAGTAGGAAGAGCTGAGTCAGGGCAGGATAATAGTCTTGGCTCTGCCTTGAACTTTGTCATCTTGAGCAAGTCATTCACTTCCTTGTCTTCTGTGAGTTGAGGAATTTTGGTGAGAGAATACATTTTTCTTCCAGCTCTAAAATTTCATGATCTGATGAGTAGAATGTAGTAAAGATGATCCTTGTGTTTCTATTAACTGGGTTGATTTTTTTTCCTTTTTATTGTTAAATAATTTCATACTTAGAGAAAAGTTGTAAAAATAGTTCAAAGAATTCCTGTATATCTTAATCAAATTCCCCAAATGTTAACATTTATCACATATGCCTTATCATTCACTGTCTACATACACATACACAGTATTCTTGCTTTTTTCAAATTGTTTGAGAGAAAATTGCAGAGTGTCTTCAATGTCTTTAACATCTGAGTACTTTAATGTGTATTTTCTAGATGAACATGGATAGTGTTCTCCTGTATACAGACAGATTTCATCAGTTGTCCCACTAATGTCTTATATACCAAAGAAAAAGAATTGTTTCTGGTCCAGAATCCAGTCCAGCATCACATATTGAATTTTTTTTTTTTTTTTTTTTTTGCAGTACGCGGGCCTCTCACTGTTGTGGCCTCTCCCGTTGCGGAGCACAGGCTCCGGACGCGCAGGCCCAGTGGCCATGGCTCATGGGCCCAGCCGCTCCATGGCATGTGGGATCTTCCCAGACTGGGGCACGAACCCGTGTCCCTGCACCGGCAGGCGGACTCTCAACCGCTGTGCCACCAGGGAAGCCCACATATTGAATTTTGTTGTCATTTTTCCTTAGTCTCTTTTAATCTGAACAGTTCTTCACTCTTTCTATGTCTTTCATGGCCTTGACATTTTTGAAGAGCACATACAGGCCAGTTATTGTAGAATATCCTTCAATTGCATTTGTCCGTGTGTCCTCCTGGTTAGATTCAGGTTATGCATTTTGGTCAGGAATTCCTCAGAAGTGCTTGTCAGAGCATGATGTATATTTGTGCCATTACTGGTGATGGGACTTGCTTCCTTAAGATGATGTACACCAAGTCTCTCCACTGTAAACTGTCATCCTGTCAGTCCAACTATGGTGGTTTTTCAAATTCCATCCTTCCATTTCCATTTCTTATTTAGAATTCTGTAAAGGAGAATTCTTTGTTTCTTTCTATCAGTATGAGCTCACAGTGCCTCTAAATGTTTAATAAATTATATCAGGCATTACTTAGCTTTTGGATGACATGTTAACATTGACAGATTTACTGTTATGTGTGTAAAAGGGAATCATTTAAAACACTAGTAATTCAAAATCTATTTAATTTGGTTTTGGTATATCATTTGCTCCTTTAAAAAATCAGTTATTAATAAAACTTGATTTTGTTCAGAACATACCTGTTATTGGATAAGCGAGGAGTAGAAGAATAATAACTGGCAGTAAAATAAACTTGCCTAGAGTTAAAATTTTCCTAAGGGAGTGATCTTATATAAACTATAAATTATCTGTCTTCATTTCAAACCCAAATGTAACTGGGGACTTGCAGATTGACAGATCGTTCGTTGTCTTTATTACTAAAAAGGCTTTGCTTTAAAAGCAAATACCAAGATTGTAGCATACTGATGAGAATATACATAATTTGTTCCCCTTATGGGCCTTGGGTCTTGAAAAGTATCTTTTACATTTTGGCATCAGATAATTTTCTGCCTTAGGTTATAACCAATATACATGAGTTTTTGAAATAAAAATAATTAGCCCAGTTGTTACTGGCCATATGAAAATTAGTATTTACCTCACAGTATAATAGTAAGGAAAGCACACCTTTATCTTTCAGTAATACAGTGAGACACTCAAGTTTCTGTCTTGTATAACATACTCTATTAAGGTAATTATTGGATTTGGGGCTTGAAGATGGTACTATAGAGTTGGCATTTTCATTTTTTGCTTTCTGGCAATTGACTAATAACAAAGAGAGGGAGAAACTAAAACCCCAGCCCGTAGACCACTATACTAGAAGGCAGCTAAAACACCAAGCCACAAAACAGGTGGAATGGCTGCCAAGAGCAGTGGGGACAGACAGGCCGCCTGCAGGAGAAAGTAGGCGATGCCAGGGCTGCAGAGCTCGGAGCCAGCAAGAGGTGCTTCGTGAGGTTGAGAGGCCCACTGTGAGGTGCAAAACCTATATCCCTTGTTTGTGAAAGCGAAATGGCTTCTTAAGCTAATGGCAGGAGTTGCCCTGCATCTGGTTTGGTTTTAAGAAGTTGGGAAGGTGAAGCCAAACAAGGAGTCATACAAACCAGCCATTTTTGCATTTTGTCTGTCTCTGTAGCAGTCGGGAGGAGATAGATGCCTTTGAAAAACCTCAAGGTTGCCTATCTCCTCTGAATGTTGAGAAATAAAAAACTAACTGATTCTCATGTAAAACCCTGAATCAAGACAAAATTTTTCCAGTGCAGAACTGATCCACTATGGCTTTCTGCATGAACCTCCTGCAAATAGCTTGTCCAGGAAAACCTCACCACTTTCAACTATGACTTAGTAAAAAAGAATCCAGCTCAAGGCCACTACCACCATTCAAGAATCGAAAAGGAAGAAAGGAATGGAAAAACAAAGGACAGTTGAAGAATCCTCACCAGAAAAAAATATTGCTGTAAAGAAGATGAAAATAATGACCAAACATTTTGCCATGAATTTAAAAGGCTTAATGGAAATATTTATCAGTGAGAGCACAAAACAGTGATATAAGAGGTCGGGGAAGAGATAGTGCGACTACATGAGAAAATGCAGTGTGAGCTGATTGAGTGGAAAGAAAGAAAAGATAAGAAAATAAAACCATCACTGAAATGAAGGTGAGATTGGAAGGATCACAAGGGACAGTAGAAACTGGGAAACACAATAAAGAACATAGAAGCTAGGAATGGAAAAGTGGGTAGAATTTACCAAAATGAATAAGAATATTAAATTAGAGTGAGAAAATGATAGATATGGAAATCAGAAAAGGAGATTTTACATAGTATGTTTGAGTCTTAAAAGAAGAAACATAATGAAACACAACCAATATTTAATGATATATAATCCAAGGTAACGTATCTGACATAAAAATAAACACACAGACAACATTGTAAGAATATTTTGACCAGGTTTTTGTTTGTTACATGGGAATATTTGGGGGGGAAATAATAAGCATTAGATTTTCTTTTTGCTATGGTCAGGCCATAAGATGGTGCTTAATCAGGTCTTTACCTGAGGTATTTAATCAACTGCATAGATACAACTGGTTGAAATTTAAGCATGGATATAGAAAGTAGTTACATTAACTTTATATAGTATGATCAAATAGGCAAAATTTGCTTTTTGTTTTTGTTTTTTTAATTTACCCTATTTTAGGTAACCTTTGAATACAAAAAGAGCACTTTAAGTAAAAATTTTCAAGTAAAAAAATTAGAAAATTTAAAACTGGCTCTCTACTTAAGACAGGCTCACAAACTATTTCTTAATCTTTAAGACTTATAATTGTTACAATATGTGAAAGTGTTTTTTGAGGGTTGATACATTTCAACTAAAGTTAGACAAATTTTGCTTGTTGTTGGTTGACTTTAGATCCCTGATTCTTATCACTCCCTTGGTAAGTTTTTAGAAATACCCATGACTGTTTGGCTTCTAAGGGCAGGTGTCAGATAGATTTCATACACAAGTTACCTTATAGTTTGGGCTTACTTAACAGAAAGATAATTTAATTAAAATGCAAAGTAGTTTATACATCTTGTTTAATGCCACAACATAAACTTCTTAAAATACTTGGGAATATGAGATAATTCAGAAAGTAAAGTAGAACTATTCTATTTCATAATATTTCATTCAATTAAACATGTTAAAGTAATAAAAATGGCTCTGACATTTCTTTCTTTAGAATAATGACAAATGGTCTTGATCATATATAGATTGTTTCTTTCTTCCATTCTACTTACAGGCTTTATTAGGAAAGGTTGTGATGTTCTTTATATGCCTTTTCAGCACTGACTAATGGTTGATAGACCTTTTTATACTGAAGTGTCCTTGCTTTCCTAGATAAGCCTTCACTCATTTTGTTTGATGTATTTCTGGATTCTGTTGACTAATTTAGAATTTTTACATCTATTTTTATATGTAAGATGGACTCTCCTTTTTTGTATTTTTAAAAAATCAGAATTTGGTATTAAAGTTGTATTAGTTTATACAATGAAGGAGCTTTCCGTCTTTTTAAATTGTCCTTACTTGCTTAAATACTACTGGAATTATCTGTTCTATGAAGGTTATATTTCATCTGAGTCAGTCTGATTCAGCTTCTT